GACTAAAGGTAATCCAATCACAAATCAGCATACCAACAACTGGGTTTTTATCTATTTTGTTTAAGCTGTGCAAAAAACAAAGATTTAGTTGTGATTTTACAGAAGGTTGAGTCCTGGAACCAAAACCAGGATAGCTGTTTCTCCCTGCTACCAGTCTTTGTGCTAAGCTAAGCTAACTCCTGTCTGTCATTTTATAATAAGCATACAAACATGAAAGTGGAATCAATCCTCTTACCGAACTGCCAGTAAGAAAATGAATTAGTGTAAATGTCAATCAATTCCTTTAACCATAAGCATTTGATTTAATTTTGTGCAGTCACTCATTTTGTTGGACTACTTTTTACAAGGTAGACGTCTTATCTTGAGATGAAACTCTTGCTCTTGTGTTTCCATTCTGCTGAACTGCAGCCAGCAGTGAGACTGATTGAGATGTCTGCAGTAACAGGTGCTCTGCTGTACTGTGCTGATTGACAGAGTAAATGGTGAATACAGCCTCTGCGTGTAGTCAACATGTGGCTCTTTTATAGCAATAGACATTTCATTACAACAAAATGATTTGTCCTGTTGCCCTCCCAGTTTGTCTGTCTATCTGGATGACATTCAACTGAATGATATTCTATTAGTTTGTAAAATGAAAACACAAGTCTGAGTCTCCTCTCTTGATATGTACTTTAGCTTTACACCCACATGTATAGGCTAAATTTAGACATGTCAGATCGAGTGCTGAAAGATTCCTCTCAACATCATAAAACCCCACTGGCATAACAACATACGTACATATACTGTTTCAATGTATAACACATGTATTAGGTTTCTGTAAGGGCAACAGAACATATAATAAGAAGACCTTCTACTTTGATAAATCCATTTACCAGATCAAGAAAACTAATTGGGCCTGGGTATCAAACTCAATACTTGTATGGTACCAACAGAAATGTGTCCCGAGCATCCAGTTTTGAAGACTGAATCTGGCCTCTCTTCGAATTACATACATTTATCTACATTTTTTTAATGTAATATTTGCACATCCTATATGTTAAACTCCACCCATCTGGAAACTAGACAGCCCAACAAACTGCACCAGACACGTTATGCATAGAATGCATGGGTTACATGCATGTATGTATGTATATTTACTAGCTTTAATTAGTAACAATAATGTACATGTACCTATATCAATGGTTACATCTTAGTTTGACAAAATGTGCACATCCGTATCTGTAATTTTTAGATTAATTGCTGTTTATTGCTGTCTATCAGAGAATGTGTGAATGATGGATGGTGAAAATCCCAGCAGGGCCATTTGGTGGTGTTTGTCTGTTTACTGCATAGCTGACATTGTTTGGGGCTGCGGCTCGGTGGCTGTGGTGCCTCAAGAGGACAGCAAGCTGCCACAGTGGATGGTGGTCAGGAGAGAGGAACATAGAGGGGAGGGAAGGGGTGAGGGCAGAAGGGAGAGGCACTGAGAAGGAGGTAAGGGAAGTGATATGACAGAGTATAGACTATTATCTATCATATAGGAGAAGGGAGAGTCATGTAAAAATGTCTGTAAAAATCAAGCAGAGTACAAACACAAGAGAGGAAAAAAGTTCAGTAAAAGTAAACCAAGGATCTGAAAGAAGACTGTAGACCTAGTAAGAGGCACAGCGAGAGAGCAGGAAGGGAGGAAAGCAGTGAGTCACAACAATGGTTGTCTGTATTTGTGTCTGTAGGAGTATATTTTGCTCCACTGGCCATTGCTTCTGGGCTAAACATTCACAAGCTATTTTCAGCTTTCGTCCTGGATGGCAGGGCTGTAATCAAGTGAACATCAGGCCTGCCACTGTTGAATAATAGCAGCCTGATGCATGGAAGAAATGAAGCAGTCAGAGTGTGAGAAAAGCAGAAGACTTTGGAAAAAGTAGAGAATGAAAGAGAAGAAAATAGAGAAAAGGCACTTGAACGTAATTAATGTTTGTGTTTTGTGCATTGTGCTACATGTGGGAGTACAAAACAGGACCATTGCTGTCTAGAGTGATCTTCCATCTGTTCAAAATTAAGACTTAGTCTCCCACCAAAGATACCACAGCTAAACCTCAAGTGAATGTCAGTGCTGAAATTCATCTGTTTTCTCCCTCAGAAATCATGAATGTGTTCATTATTTTATTAGATAACCTCACAATAACCACTTCTGCCACTTGCAAAATGCCCTAACATGTTTTTCATATGTTGCTGGCTCAACTCAATCTTCTATTTCATCAGATACCAAAGGGCCAACCAGATAATGTGACAACAAATTGAAGACAAAAAAACATGATGGAAGGACAAAACGGTAAAACAAGTCTCTAACCTGACAGAATTTTATTAAATTCAGACATTTCAGACATTTATTTGCAATGGATAATAAACTGCTGTCTTAATGTTTACAGGAAATATCTTGCCTCATAAAACAACCGAGAACGGAGTTAAAGGGAAGCCCCCATACTCAGTGGAAACCCCTTATGGCTTTAGACTTGACCTGGACTTCCTAAAATATGTGGATGACATAGAGAAGGGCAACACAATCAAAAGAGTCCCCATACAGCGCCGGAGCAAGGGCCCCCGAGCAAGCACTCTTCCCAGGCACCTCAACCCTTCTGGATGTGGCTACCGCCCGAGCCCCTGGGGATCGACAGGAGCTCTTGGCCCCAAGTCCCGACTGTCAGACATCCATCCAGGCTATACTTCCTGGGCAAATGATCAGAGGTCGCTCCATTCTCCCACAGGACTCAAATCCTTGACTGAGATGGAAGCCAGAATCAAGGAGTTTGATGAGCAGCCTCTAGGTGAGCACATCAGACCTCATCTCCTCCGTGCCTCCAGTATGCCGCTTACAGTGCTGCTGAGACAGGGATCAGAATCCACAGATGACCCTGGCAGCCTCCGTAGTTCGAGGGATCACCTTGGAGGAAAAAACATCTCCTGCGAAGACGTCTTCTACTCCACGGACAGCCCTCGTCCCCAGGACTACTCAGGGCTGTTGAGACGCCTGAGAGAGGCCCTGGAACGTGTGGGTGAGCTGGAGATGGAGATGAGGGTGATACCAGAGCTTAGGGCACAGATCTGCATCCTCCAGGAGGAAAGAGAAAGGCTGCGTCTAGGCCTAAATCCACACATCCAACCACCTTCAATGAATGGAACCGCAGACCCTTACCCCTCATCCCACTACAGCACAGTGGACATCAAAAGGCCTCGGCATGAAAGTCATATCATGTTTCCTAGAAATCACAGCGTCAGTCAGGAAGACTCTAATCCAACACATGAGTGGAGGACTAGTACAGATCTGGACGAGCTGCTGACAGTGACGTCCCTGCAGGCTAAGGTAGCTGTACTGGAGCAGAAGCTCCATGAGACTGGCCTGGAGCTCCAGAGAGCCTTAGGGCTGCTGAGGGAGCAGCAGGAGGAGAGTAGAAAGAAAGATGAGAAGATTGAACACCTTATCAGGAATCCTGGTGTGTGGGTTCGTGCAGAGAGAGTGGTGGTAGACCAGGATGGAGATGAGACAGTGGCGAGATCCATTGAACCGTATGATAAAGAATCAAGTCCAGATGCATTCATCTCTCCAAAGACTGTTACCACAAATGGACAAAGGAGTTGGCAACAAGACTCTATTGTTGATTCTACTGAAAGGAGTACATTTGTGTCTGTGGGACATGGTAACTCTTCAAATGACGGTATAGACACAGCAGTGGTCGTCCACCACATCAAGAAGATCAAGAGACTCCTGGATCAGCAGTGGGAGTGTTTGTGCGCAGACTGTCAGTCAGGAGAGGAGGGTAAACCTCTAAAGCACCCAGACCCCAAAGTCAACTCTCTGCAGCAGGAGATGATGGGACTTGTTGACATCCTTACCTCCTACTACACCCAGCATGGACACAATGATGGAGAGAGGACTCAACATGGAGGTACTACAATCCACAGATTGTTCATTATATCAATGTAATGATTAAATCACATCTGTTTGCAGGACTAATGCACACCATAGGAAAACACGATTGGATTATGAAGTTATAAAAGCTGGTTGCCCCCTAATTTAACATTACTGAATGCTACAAATTTGTACTTCAGATTAAATTTGGAATTAATGTTCTAGGGGCTTCATCTTGAGATGCAGTGCTTTCATATTACATTAAGGGAGATTGAATCATAATATTGTGGTTTGGCCTTGGTTTCGACTTGGTTTGACCTTACTGTTTTGACTTCACCCTTGAAGATGAACTTTATTGAATTACGAGACTTCTGACTGAAAAACATTAGACTTGGGAATCTGTTAGTTGAATGGTTGTATTTCATTGGAGCACACGATTACCCACCAAGGCTGGTTTTGTATTTGGAACTACTTTTATTTTTAGTTTTAGAGCTTTCCCGTTTTAAAAGTATAGAAATCCTACTATGCAAAGTAAGTAAGTAAATAAGTAAATCTTTATTTATATAGCCCTTTTTAAAACACACAGTTACAAAGTGCATCACAAACAAACAAATATATGGATATATATATGCATATATACATATAAATGTGTACATACATAACCATACCCAATCATATACATACAAAGGTACCATATAAATACAAACATATGGAAGATAAAACAAGAGGGAAAGAATAAATTAAAAGAGAGATGACAGAGATAAGTAAACAAACAAGAAGGAGATCTATAAAAAGGATTGTCTGTAGAGGTGGGTTTTGAGGAGTCGCTTAAAACAAGCTGAAATAGCTGAGAGGAGAGTTTATTCAATACATATTTCTCTAAACAGAAGTATTCCAAATCTCCAGTGGGCGTGTAAAGAGACAGAATTTAAACTGCAAAAACTGCAAACATTATGGCTAAGAAATAGTTATTGTAGACATTATTATTTCATACTTTTGTGTGCAAAGCATGTGCAAAACAGAGTTTGAGTTGATGTCAATGCTAACAGCTGTATCAACACAGGAATAATAGCAGGTTTATGTGTGGACTTTGGCACACAGGCTCATTTTAATTCCCATAAAGAAACCCTATATGTCTTCAAATGGTTGCTAAATGTGCTTCTCACAGCACAGAAGTCTTGTCAAAATAGCTTTTAAAAAGTTTTTCTTTTGCTCCAATTTAAAAAATTAATACTGAAAATCAAATTGTATTACCATTTACTGTGAAATAGGCTGAATCATGATGTTCCACTGTCAAATTCAGACCCACAAGTTACCTGTTAGACGTAAACTGACAGCTGTTGTTGGTTTCTGACTCTCTTCTTTATCAGTGAAACTTAACATTTCTTCTTTTGTGTTAGCTGTGAAGTGTGTTTTGTCCAAAAGTAAAAAGCCTTAAACCATGATAAATAAGTACTTCATCAGGAGAATTGAATGTTGTTCTGCTGTGTTTGTTATTTCATCATACCCTCTGCGTCTGTCTTCCATGTAGCCTCTAAATCCATTATGAGGGCAGATGGATGGGCCTGGACGTCAAAAAGCCTACATTCTGGGGGTGTTAATGAAAGGTTAGTAAATAACTCTCTGACTTTAGCAACCTTTGGAGTTATGATTATTGCTTAAACCATAGTTTTGGTTGACAGGCATACTAACTTGAGGTTATTTAAGCTACTGTTGCATGGTTCTGACTGAGAAAAACATCATAATTTAAGTCTGAAAGATGAATGCCACTCCCTCTACAGTTGTCAGTTAGAGGAGAAAAACGGTGACTCCTATGTCTTTGGATGACTGAGTTCAAGTGAACATTTGCCATTTCCCAAAGCCTCCAATGAGAGTTTATTTATTGCTTCAAAGTTAGATTAGTCAGAAAATGGAAAAGATGACTGTGACAGTTTCCAGGATGGTTTCCTGGGGCTCAGACTATTTTTTGGCTTACTATTACTACTATAATATATGAGATCTGTTTAGTTGTAATAGTATAACAGACAAATCTTCAGTCAACACAGTGAGACTTGTAGTCTTTTGTCTCTTTTGTTTTGACTTTTTCCTTTGATTTCCACCCTTGACGTTTTAAAAGGATTGGGCTCTAAATATTGATTGGATTATTCCTACTCTATATAACATGAATAATACATTACAAATCTCTTCCAAAAGTTTTTGTCTTGTTCCAAAATGAGCCAACTTACATTGACATTGTGTGTAGGGGGGATGGTTGGTTGGTTGGTTGGTTGGTTGTTGATTCCTGGTGCTGTAAATGCTTATAGTACATTAAAAGGAGTATAGTTTTTGAGGCATTTAAACAATATGTGGGTTTGTGAACTGTGGCTTGCAAAATGAATCAGTAGATTCAGTTGCCAACATATACTAGCATTTGGTAGAGGCTGGTCTTACTTTTCTCCTCTGCTCTTCTTTTTTTATTTTTTTTAAAGACGCAAAAAAAGTGAAAATCTGTTTGGGCAGCACTGTGTGAACCAGAGTGAGCAGAAGGAGAGCAGCATCAGCCCTAGGGAGATGGCTGCTGCCCAGGTGGATGCAGATCCAGAGAAGAGGCAAACGAGCCCAGACAGACAGATGATATCGGGAGGAGCAGGATCAGGGAGGACAGATGGAGGCGTAGCGTCTGTGGAAGCTGAGGCTCTGGAGAAAACGGCCAAGATGAAACTACAGCCTCCAGGAGAACAGATGGAGGGGAACTCTGGCTTAGAAACCACCACCGGGGGCAGGTGAGAGGGCCGGAACAAATGCTTTATCAGTGTTTGTTTGGAAAATGTAATTGTGATGTTTACTCTTCAGGGAAAAGCTCCTGTGTTTTTATTTCATCCCATGAGAATATGCTTTCTGTTTTCTGTTTACTTATGCACACATACACACATGCTCTTTTTTTCTAGGGAGGCAGTGAGTGCAGATTTTACGGCTGCTTGTCAGTTCCTTAACGATCACATGGACAACATGGATAACCCCAATGATGACATGGTGAGCAGTCTTGATCCTTTCACAGAAACTTAAAATCAGAACTACATAATCACATATATTCAATATTGAAGCTGCTTACAGTAAACGGATCCATAATTCTTAAAAAACACAATATGTAAGCCCTCAGTTGCAGTTGCCCTCAGTTGCAATACCACTGTTTGGACACGTCACTTACATTTATTATGATTACATTACTTACGATCAAAAACTAGCGAGTCGACAAATTTTCGAACAGCCAAACATCAGGCAAAGGCAACAACACAAGACATAGCAAGCCAGCTAATATTACTGACTAGTCCAACAGCAAGAAGACCAGCTCACCGTCTGTCTGCAGCCTTTTATTTCACAAAATCAGTGACATAGTTGCTGGTGTGTGGCCACTGTTACACACGTGTTCTGACCCAAAACCAAAAGGTACATAGTGCAAGAAAAGACGTAGCCTAAAGGGCACAGAGTGAGAATGACAGAGGCACTTTTCACCCAATTACAACTCAGTGCAGTGCAGCACAATGATAGTGAAGTTGTTATTTTAAGGTAGAAAAGTTACATAAAGTTGCTTTAAATGACCACTGTGTAGGATTTAGTGACATCTAGAGGTGAAATTTGCAGATTGCAACCAATTAAATACTGCTCGCCTTACGAGTGTGTAGGAGAAACTATGGTAGCCTTTGTCCATTCTGGGCTACTGTAGAAACAGTTTAACATGGCAGCCTCCATCGAAGGTGACCAGCGGCATGTGTCGATATAAAAGGCTCTAAAACAACAATTCTTATTTTCAGGTGGTTATACACTAATGAAATACTATGAATATTACATTCCATTTCTGTCAATAAATCATCCTAAGTGTTACACACTGGACGTTTAAATTAAAGATGATTATTCCAACATGTAGTATACACTGAGTTGGGCAAATCCTTCAGATAACAGAATCCAAAGTTAGTATCCTTCCTCTTTTTTTCAGAGGAAGGCCCTGGTTGTGTTGTTTCAGCACTGGTTCAGCGCGGCAGCAGAGGAGGCGTCGGTGGCCAGCAGGTTAGCTGTGTACCTAAGAGAAGTGAAGAAGACCACACCTTCACTGCTGGCCTTCTTGGTCAACCTGGCTGACGACAATGGCAACACAGTGCTGCATTATAGCGTGTCGCACTGCAACTACAGCATCGTCAGCCTGCTACTGGACACAGGTAATAGTACTGTGTGGCCGTTTGCTATTGTACATAGGAATAATTGGCTTTTAAATTCTGAAAAAGTGTTTTTATTTTTGTCTTTGCTTTACAGGCGTGAGTGACGTGAACCTTCAGAACAATGCTGGATATACAGCAGTGATGCTGGCCTCGCTGACAGCCCCTGATGGCCCAGGTGGCATGGAGGTGGTCCGCAAGCTAATGGAGCTGGGCAACATTCACATTCGCTCAAGCCAGGTAACACAACCACTGCAACCACAGTTTAAACAGTTTAACAGTAATTAATGCAGTGGGGATTTTTTTAGGAGAAGAGAACACAGAAAAGTTGTAAATGTGAAATCTAATCAAACAATAACTCACCATACTGTCACCCTGTCTTACTATACACATGAAAATTTGTTAACTTGCTTAGTTAAGAATCAGGGTATCTCAGCCTTTGCGCCATCAGTTCTTTTTTTAAATGTGTCTCTTGTTACTTCCCAAACTTGATAAAAGTGCAATAATAAATTGTGTCCCTCTAAAGCGTCCTTTAGCAAGACACTGAATATCAAAACATCAAAAGACGACATGTGTTAAACTGTAACATCTGAGATGAAGTGCATCTAAGTCAAAGGACAGAAAAATTTAATGGTTTTTAACAAATCTCTATATTCAAATTTTCTGTCTCTGTCATCTCCCTCTCCACAGACAGGCCAAACAGCTCTGCACTTGGCGGTGAGACACGGGCGAGTTGTGATGGTTCGCCTGCTGCTGAGCCACGGAGCAGATGCTAACATCCAGGACAGCCAGGGAACCACGGCCCTGATGTTCGCAGCTGAGAGGGGCCACACACACATCGCCAGGCTGCTGCTGGAGAGGAGCCAGTGTGACCTCACCCTGACCGACAAGGTGATACAGCAGTCCCATAGACAATTTACTTCCAATACTATCCTCCAACCTTTAGAACAGAGATCAATGAGAGGTTCTGCCTTTTTTTGCCACCACAGAGTTCAAGTCGTTTTGTCTGTGGTACTACTTGTTTGTGGTCATAATACTAAAAAAACAGTTAATTTGACCAAAAAAAAATGATTTTTCAGAGAATTTCAGAACATATGCTGACTCCAACTCTATTTATCTTGAGAAATCCTGTTATATTTGTTAACATAATGCCATATGTAGTTGTCTTTTCACATAACTAAACACAAAAAGGAGCTTAGACATGTAAAAGCTTGAATGTTTTGACTGACACTGAGCGGACGTGGGTGGACTGGCAGTCTGGATGCAGCTGAATAGAGCTTTCCCAGGATTAATCGGGACTACAGTAAACAAATCTCCCTGTGTTGAGATGAGCTAATCCGCTAACAGTGTCTTATCTGCCAGTCTGAAGCGGGTGGAGGCAGAGAAGAGAGCAGAGGAGAGGATGCAAATGTGTTTTAGACCTGTGATATAGTCAGCCTTTAAAGTTTAGTTGAAAAGAAAAAAACCCCACTACCACAGGCGTCCTATCTCGACTCCAAAACATGTTTCACCTTGACACAACCTTAATTAGACTAATTAATTAAGTGGAATCTTAACCCATTTATTTTAAAAACTGTAAATGCAACCTTGCACCTAGTTTTGTTATTTAATCGGTCTTGTGGGAGCCTTAATTCTGCACCTTCAGTCTATTCACATGAAAAACATGTGAATAGACTAAGCCTACAGCCATGCTGGTGACTCAGTGAGCACTGGGCTGCTTTGAGATAAATGCTAAATACTAATAATAAACTTCTGTTGGTATAATGCGAGTATAATATGTACATCACTTTAAGCATGTTAGCTTTTGCATAACATTTTTACTAAAAACCACCACGGACCACCAACGTTTGTCGAACTGCAGCGGTGCTTTAAGCTAAATTGCTAACGTTAGCATGCTAACAGTGACAATGCTAACATGTTGATGTTTAACAGGCATTATGTTTACTATGTTTACCATCTTCATAGCTTGTAAGCATGCTAACATTTGCTAATTAGAGCTAAACACAAATGCCATTAAGGTTGATGGGAATGTCATTAGTTGTGCAGGTATTTGGTCATAAATCAAAGTTTTGGATAATTTAATATTTGACCTGAAATTGGTGTTTTTAAGTAAGCCTGTTGAGCCATGTTACTACGGGTTCAGAATTTAAAATCCGACAGCTAAAGAGCAACAGGAGAGGGGGGAGAGAGAGGGAGGGGATAAGGGGCCACAGGTCAGAGTCAAACCCCGGGCCCCCTGCAGCAAACACTCAGCCCTGGTACATGAGGCGCCAGCTCCACCAGGTGAGCTACCAGGGCGCCCCTAAAATGTATGTTTTGATCGTAATTTCCTGTTTGTCTTTCTTTTTGTCTTCCAGCGAGGTCGAACTGCACTCTCTATCGCCATGCAAAGCTCCCACACGGATACAGCCGCCCTCCTGCAAGCCCATGCTAAAGCTCGAGCTTTGTAGTTCTGGAAAACTGGAAAAGAATGTGCAGACATATGATCCTCTCACATGTGCTCTTTTCTGTCTGAACCCAGTTTAACGTTGATGCTGTGTGAGTGGGTTGAGTTTTAGCTGTGATGATATTGTTGCTGAAATGTGGACACCTGCACTAGCATTGGATGACATCATTATAACAAGGCTTTATATCATCAGTGAGTGAGGTCATTATTGCTGAGTCAGTATAAATGTGCTGTTTTCTATTGTCTTTGCTGTTGATGTTCATTGTTATGTTTGATCTTTGCACTTCCCAGTAGCAGCTTAGCTTTGCAAACTATGCAATGAAAAAAATATTTATTATAATATGTTAATTATATTGGACACGAGTATGTTGACAATTATCTAAACGTCTGTGCTTATAATAATAATCCAAGGTGCCTTTATGTTTTTAGAGGAAAATTACAGATTGCTATTTCCATTCTTGCAGCAGCCGAGCACTTTTTTAAATAAAATGTGTGTAAAATATACAAAGAAATGCCAAATACTTGTCTCATGGTGCATGCCAAACACATGAAAAAAAGGCAAATTTTTGGTGCCAATAAACAAACCTGTTGATTTCACTCACTAGTAATTGCTAAACTGATGTATAAACTGTCTATTTTTAATAAAAGGACAGCAAGCTGATGATATTGTGGCGTTTGAAAGAAGCTATCAGTTGTCAGGCTGCATTGAAAACGCTTTTTATGGCTGTAGTGACAAACCTGACCAGCAGGTGGCACAGCTCCTCCATTTCACCATCACTACTGCCAAACACAATCAAACACAATAACACACGCACAGAAAGCAACAATACACATAAATCTGGAATTCTAAAATGAGCATATCCAAGGGATTAGATCTAATCCCTTTCAAGTGTGACAGACAATTATAAACATGACACCCACCGAATTGTACTGATTCCACTGTGAGAGAGGACACAATGAGATTCACCTGCAATCCAACGGTATAGCAGCTGGATTGGCCCAGTCTGGCGTGAAAGCAGATGTGTTTGAGTGGCCTTTGTTCTTCTAACCCCCTGGGAAACAGTAAGGGGTAGAGCTTTAGTGTTTCTGCGAGGACTTGAGATTATGTTGGTGAGATAAGACAAAAAGGATTGAGTGTGGAGACGGGGAGGAGGCTGGATTTCTGTCTGACAGAGCAAAGCCACCTCATTTCCCCTGAGGATTTTTTCCAGGCTGGCTGACTGACTGCCCTGCTGCTGTAATGACCCTGAGCAACTGTATATCCTCAGAAAACGAGCAGGAGATGGATAGACGGAGATGGAATCAGCTGCTTCTCTATCAATCACATGTCACATAATGTACAGTATAAGCAAAGAAACACTTTCATAAAGCTCACTGCTCTATCAAATTAACCATTATTTGCTGTGAAAGGACGACCCGTGTTTATAGGTGAACTACAGAATTAAAGCATTTGAACAATATACTCATGTGTAGGCATAGACCATGAGTCTATACCACCATGGTATGTATAGGTTTAAATACACCATCCCCCACCCAAACAGCCCTTCACGCCACAGTGAATGAAAGTGTTCATCTTCGCCTTTGTGCAGCAATGAAGATCTATGACACGTATTGTCTGCTGCACAAGCCGCTGGACTACTACAAATACTTATTGGATAATATCCTAATAGGGTGTGGTACAACGAGGAAGAGTTTGAAGGCATTTGCCTGCTCCGGTTTAATAATGATAATGGACTGGATTTATCTACTACTGTTTTTCTGTCTGCTGATGAATCACTTTGTAAATGGATGAATGTGAAAGGCAGCAGAGTCAGAATGGGCTCTCGACATACTGACATACAGCTTCTTATCTGCTGTAACAGGAAAAGCACAATTCATAAGCAGTAAGCCAAAGCATGCTCAGTTCAACACATTCAGGGGTTTTGCTGCTACAGCCATACTCGTCCTGGTATGACACGCAGCCCATATGAGCTAATGTTAGCTAATAATCAGACAGACAGACTGTGCTGTCAATAATGGCACAAGAAAACACACCGGCCTTTATCGGGAGACAGTTCTCAGACAGGTTGCCTAAAAATAATGATAGCTTTAAAGCTGCACCCATGTGTTGTTTTTTTAATTAATTGAACTAAATTGACTTGCTGTGCCATTTGTGGACAGAATTCCAGAACAAGCGGACAATCACACATTTGACATATGACCATTATGGTTGGTATAGCTATAAATGTTGCCAACAATTATCAGCAATGTAATGAATGAATGTAAGTCCAATATTCACACACAATTCTAGTTTTGTTATTGGTCTTGCATACATTTGTTTCATCAAAACAAAGAGCTACAACAGACTTCCACAGAGCTGAAAGGAACTGCAGAGTTGGGGAAAATCTCTCTAAGTTTGTCACTTGACCCATTGCTAATATTTTAAAAATGATAAGTGCTGCTTTAAAATAACTGATTTAAGAGAACTGAAAAATATAACATGCCAATATTCTGCTATTGCCATTTGTGGTCTTTGTGGCTGCAGTTCAGTGTAAATTACAGTACACAGGCTCACTGAAGATCTTAACAAACACTCAACTGTGGTCTTAAAAAGCAGTAGGTCTGTGGTATTTATGTGTGCTATTTGATATGTTGTAGAGGAAAATGAAACAGCACACATGAAGGAAATTTTCAGTCAGATTTTATATATCAATATATAGAGATATTCAAAAGTAATCCATTACAGAAAATCAAAAAGTGGAACCAGTTTGGTCTTAATGCAGTTCATCTTTGCATGTACAGTAGTTGGCTGATCCCTGTCCTTTTGATGAAAAAATACAAGGGGGAAATCAAAAAGTAAACAAAAAAGGCACAAATAAACAAAAATCAACCGTCCCATTAACACCAAGGTTGGGAAGCGTGAAAGATGTGGGATTTTTTCAGGAGGGGACACCATGTTTTACTTGGGCTCACAAAGAAAAAAAGAGTTGCACACAAAAAAGGATGCTTAATGATGCACAGCAAGAAACAACACAAATCATTTTGGTGGATAATTGAGATTTCTTACAATCAGGGAATGCAGTGCTCTCCGTTTATACAAATAAATTAATATACCTGTCAACACTTTATCTAAAATCTTATGTACATCTTCTCTTTTACATAATTGTATAATACATTATCAAAAACCTTATGAAAACATATTTACAAATCAATGAATCAAAAAGCACCCTCAAAGCTTCTCCAGTGTCATACACTGTCCCACACACAACTCTCTCTCACACACACACACACACTTACACACCTGTGTATCCACACACCTTCATACACTGTTTTCTTCCATGCAATACACAATACAGAAGGCATTCTAAGAGGGTTGTGCAACAAAGAGCATACAAAACAGTTCAAATATGGCTGTGGGATGAACATTAGCACTCACATGCATAATAATGAACACACACACACACACACACACACACTCACACAAGCAAGTACGCACACATACAGAGACTTTCAAGGTTTATGAATGGTGTAACAGAGTTAATGACGGACTAAACCAGCATGAAACATGTTCACTGATAGGACAATTTGGTCTCAACCTCATTACATCACAGTCTGATTTTTGCTTTCTGTGGTTACATCACATGACAGCTCTTTTTCATCATGCAGCCACCAGCTGGGCCCTCCCACATGGCACTATCCAAAACTGTCTGCTCAGATTCTCAGGAGGAGGCTCTGGAATCCAGCTTGCTTTTGCGAATGTGTGCGTGCATACGTGTGTGTGTGTGTTGGTGTGTGTGTGTATGTAGCCTGAAACAATGAATGGCTGCATTGTTAGCTGGTGAGCAATTATGCATGCTGTTTGTGTTTTCGGAGGGCAAGTGCACATTGCCTCCGTCCTCTGGAGAGCAGCGTGAATTTGCCCGTGTGTATTCATGTGTGTATTTGTCACAGTCAAACGCAGGTGATGAAATAAAATTATTAACACTTGAGGATTTTTGTCAACCACGTAACACTGCAGTCTGACTAAAAACTGCACTCTATTGCTTTTCTCAAACCTTTTAACACCTAAACAAGTCACAATAAAAAAGACAACTCTCCCTAACCTTCCAGCCTGTCTGCTCATACAAAACAAATATCTAAATACTGTATAACTCCATTTTCTCCTTCTTTCTTTCAGTCTGCAACACTGCTGCACTCTCTCTGGGAGGTCAAATAAACATAACCCCTCAAATCAACAGAGTTCAGCTGCACTGTGAAATGTTAGACAACTAACCCCTTGCCTCCGAACCAAAGAGAAAGCATAATGTGGGTGGTAACTGTTCTTTTAAATCTTAAGAAGAAAAGAAAAATCTTACAAAAGAAAGCCCATCCAGGAAAATGTTAACTGCAAAAGACAGCTCCAGTATTGGCCGTTATGACATGACATTGTGATCGATTCTTACACGAATCTGTACAGATTGTCCCATCAACGCAGACGCTGTCCCAGTTTCTGCACTCCTCCTTCCTAAACAGTGTTCCCAGAGCTCCACGGCCCACCAGGAATAACAAAAAGCCCAAATTAATACATCAAAGGACCAAAAGAGAACCTCTCGCTGGCCCCCGTCACAAAATATAAGACACACAGCACACACCGCACTCAGTCATCTCAATGCAAAAGACTCAAAACAAGAACCAGTCTGACTCCATATTCCAGTTCAGGTCAATGCTGAGAACACATTATAACACAATTCTGCAATTAATTCTCAACATTTACTGGAGAAAAAGTAGATCCAGCTCCATCACAGAAAAGGTATGAAACAATTTTCTAAAGAATCATGTCTTATTAATTCTGCTGTTTTTCAAATGGAAATTGGCATAGGACATTGGCTGTGAATGGCTGCATGTGACACTTGATGATATGTTGTTCGTCCCTTCTGCAAACTCAGTCCCAGTCGCTCCTGACCTCACTGTGTGTGCGTGTGCCTGAGCGGCCATCTTCCCCCCGGAATCCGCTCTTGAGGGTCACTTTGCAGTGGAGAGCATTGGCTGCTCTGTGTACCAGTGAGTCCCCGGATCGGGCATGCTGCCCCCGAGTGGCAGGGCGATGAACTGCGGGCAGGTGCCACCTCCTGCTCCTACTACTCCCATGTTGACGCCCTGCGGGTACGGGTGGTGGTGCGTGTGATGTCCCATTCCATCAGTCCGCCCGATGTGGATCTCGTCCTCCTCGCCCTCGCCAGTGGTTTTGCGGTAGACAGGGTTGTCGAAGTTCATGCTCTTGGTGGAGTTACGCCTCCAGTTACGCCACACCAGGTAGACTCCGGCGCACACCAGGCCGAACACCACTGTGGCAATGATAGGAACTGCATGCGTTTAACACACAGCGGCAGGGACACGGGAAGGGGGGGAGCGTTAACAAGGCATAACGAGTCCATGGCATGAAATGAGAGGTACGGAGAGGAGCATAACAGGCATGCAGGGGACAGAAAGGGCAGGGGACAGCGAGAGAGAGGTTGTGTGTGTGGGTGGCTCGGCTAAACATCAGGTCAACGTCGGGTCATGCGCCAACCGACTGATTTTGTACACAGACTCTAAATGAGCTGTGGGAAACACCATTAGTGGCCTGGCAGTGGAGTAAATTAGCTTTAAACTATCCTTGGGGAGCAAAAATTTCAACTATCGCATTACATCACAATCTCTTGGCAACTCATCCTCTGCAAATGTGTCCTTGAATAAGCAATGTAATTTAATAATGCTTTATTAAATTACAGCAATAAAGCAGCAATAAAGCTTTCATGCTTTTTCTCTCTCTCCTGTGCTGTTTATTCACCTTATAAATGATATATTCAATCTATCTGAACTAATTGGTGGATTCATTTTGGTTTTCTATTAGTTTGCTTGTTTATACAGAGAAGGAAATATTTTTTTCCTACAGTTTTCTACTATGCCATTTTTTACATTTTTATGAGGACTCTGAATAAACCTTTCCGGCTTCCTTGGTCTCCTGTACTGTACTGTACTGTACTGTTTTCTACATGTATGTATTTTGCTTTGTATTAGTGTGCAAATAAACTAAACTAGACTAAAAACTAAACTACTCATTCTATAAAAAGTGATGTCAAAGCAGGACCAACGTTTTTCAAAATATTTTTTTTTGATCATTATAATAATAATCATGATTATTTTATTAAAACTGTACTCCTCTTTGAGTTCCATTATCCACAGTAACAGGGACACATTTTCTGAAAGAAAGATGTTGCTGTTTTATTTTTTAAATGTAATTGTTCAATGCTCTGAACACCATAAACAAAATTGACTGTTCAATCATCATGTCTCCTGTCAGAGTTTAGACTCCAGTAACCCGTTATCTGAGACAGCATTATGTTTGCCAAATACATTAGTGAGAACTCATACCTCAAGCCATTTCCAAATGTTAAAAGTAAAAAATGTTAGAACAAAAAACAGTCCAACCTTACATTTTTCCTGAACATACTTACTAACTCTACACTGTAATAAAATAACAATGCTGTTACTATATTTCTTCTACATGCATCATCAGCTGGTAAAGACAGTGACTTTTGTCATTGGACAGTTTTTTAGCACAATATCACTTACTTAGCCATAGATTATTATATTTTAGCCACAGACAGCATTTTTCAAGCTCATTAGCTTCCTAGTTAAAGCTGATCAAATCAATCAAGTGCATTTGTGTCACGAGAAAACGAACTTGACAGGTGTAGCAACAGTAACTAAGGGGGGCGGGGTTTATGAAACAGTCTGTTCCATTGCATTGGTTTTCAAAACGTGAGTAAATAAAACCAAATCTTTCTAGGTTGCTAGATACCACTAGTGGTAAGTGACAAAATATTTCCTGTAATTGTGTTATTAGGTAGTGCACTAGAGTGTGTGAACTACAGAGACTAAAAAGTCTGGCTGCAGCAGAACCCAACACAACAACACAGTGAGAAGTGAATAATGCAGTGTGGCAGCGATGTCAGACGCACAGAAAAATGACTCTTGAGAAACGTCAGCGAGGAAGACCTGTGGGCCAGGCTTCTCTCATGCTGCCAGAGCAGGGTCAGTGTGAATGGACTACAAACAGCTTTACGCAGCCCTGCAGGCCTTTAGTGTGGAAGGACACACACAGACACTAAGGCTCCGGGTGACTTACCGATGGGGATGACCACTCCCAAAACAGCCACTGTCAGGTTCTCGCCCAGGAGGAAATGTTCGCTTCCAGCTGAAGAGAGAGGTGAAACAAGAGAGAGGATTTAGAGCGAGAGTCAGAAAAGACAGCCGAGCGAGAGAGGATAAGAGTGAGAAAGCGTATGGGACGAAAAAAAATGTGTGAAAAATAGAGTGAGAGATAAAGCAGGGGAGGCAGGAAGGGAGAGCCAGTGGAAGAGAAGGGCGATAAAACAGGGAGGCGGGGAGCGGGTCATGCATGCACGGCTGTGAGTGTTTTACAAAGAGAGACAGATAGTGAAAAAAGCGCTTGGAATAAAAATGAAAGGAGTAGAGAAAAATGATGAGTCGCTTGGCATTTGCCAGAATGCGACCTTGACACTAACCCTGACCTTCTACACTTCATGTATCCAGGGTCCATCTCACACTCATTTACATATCACATACTTACAAACACCCTTATTTACTTGCAGTCACACAAGTGGATGCATGTCCTCGCAGACATACAACCGCCTACAGCCCACGCGGGGCACAATTTATGGAGGAAAAGGCGACATTTTCAAGGCGACAAGGTACCATCCATCACTCCTATTAAAGTCAGTCGAGCGTGGTTGTTAGGGCTTGTAGGTAACTCACTTTAATGTCATCATTACAGTGAGGGTGAGGTTGTTAGATACATTATGAGTGTGAGAAGGACTATGGGATATGGTACTTGGCAGGAGATGAGGACACTGGGGTGAAAGTGCAACTTTATCAGAGGATTAGGCCCCATCTCTTGTTAAGTCCTGAATGGGCCGCTCTGCCCTTTCCGAATCATATAGAGGACCACGGGGGTCACATGGAAAAAATGAATCACATAATACTGGACTTATATTGTGCTAAATGAGAATTTATGAGTATTTGCAGTAGTATTGTCAGTGTCTTCACACACAGGCGGCATTGATAATAATTATTTTGAATTCACAGCCCACTTACAGTGCTGAGAGACGCTGCTGTCCCCCGCAGGAGTGGTGGGGACAACTATCGCGGTGGCAGTGGAGTGGGAGCCCAGTGCCTTTGACTCTTGTGACGACATAGGCTTAAGAGTGGAGAGGGGTGTGAGGGGATCAGGGGCACCAGAGGGAGCTGTGGTCAGGTGGGGGGTGGCGTCTGCCTGTGATACTCCCCCTGAGGGAGGGGGGAAGTCTTCTGCAACTGTGGCTCTGGTGCCAGGTGTAAATCCAGTAGGAGGTGAGGATGTCGGCGTCATGTCGCTTCTTGGTGCTCCTACAAAGACAGGAAGAGTAGAATAGAACGCTTTAACTCAAGACATTGAGTATTTTATATTTTACTTTAAATATTCACCATTAAACAACCCCACAATGGTCACACAGAGTTTGATAAAAAGGTCAAAGCTCAAACCAGTTAGATGAGCACAGATATACAGATCTCTCATGTATATAGTAAACTATATATATAAAAATAGTATAGCTGAATGATTATAGCCTCTTTACATAGTTAAATACTGCTTTATATTTATGTATTCACTGATATTTCTGTATGAAATTACATATGACTGTGGTGATCTTTTGTGATTGACATAATGGTGCTGTAAGATCCATAACAAACACATGTGAATATCAATGAGTACTTGTAACGTGCACATGAACTCAATATACAGCAGTGCTCTTTTAAGTCATGCATTAAATATTTCCTTTGTGCATCTAATGATGCTTCTTTCAGTCAGAAACAGTCTTGTTTGTAATTATGGTGAAAACAACTGATCTTGGGTCTGTTTAAAGCAGCCGTGGGGGGCAGCTGCTTTGACAAGATAGCATGGACATCATACGCTCATCATTATGAGCTATACAAATGCAGTATGTGTTCCAGAGATGTTGTTTTAGATTGCATTACATTGCATAGAGGTCCGTGTTATTGTATCCACTGCCTGTATGTGTTGCTTAGCAACTATCGTTTTAGTTATAGGTTCAATAACTATGTTGCTTGGAGGGAGAATATTTAATCTTTTATTATTAAAGGTTATATATATGAGATTTAAAACATTAATATTGCAGCAAACAGCTATTTGCTATGTGAAGATACAGTGGAGAAGACCTGAACCGAGAACGATGTCACACTTGCTCTGTGTGTTGGGCTTCTCTGTGTTTTCTTTACTGAGCCGGTCCAGCCGCGCCTGCCCGTTAGTGCATGTGAGTCCATCTGTGTGAGAGTGTGTGTTTTGAGGAGGTTGTTTCTTCTCTCATCTAACTCTGAGAATTGAGAATTTATTTTGGCCAAACTAGAGTTGGTGATGGTTGGAACAGTGGAAAGAATAACAAAAATGTTTTTTTGTGAGTTTTATTTTGTTTGTCTGGTTTGAATGAAGCGTGTTTCATGATGATTTGCCAATGGAGTCTTAGTGATATAGAGGCTGTTTCTGTTTAAACAAAGAGGATCTTTCACTTAAACACAAATGGGCATCTCTGTAGGGATCCTTTCCATAATGTTGTCAGACACTTGGAATAACAATCTGAGCCTGTTAGTAGCTGTACATTGACGAGCGCCTTTGTCCCCAAGAATTACGTTGCAGCCATTGCAGTCTGTTTCACAGCTACGTAAAGAATATATCTTCACATTTAACTGAATTAAAGATTTATTTCAACCAAACCAGAGCTGGTTATTGTTGGAACAGTGGAATAACTAACAAAGTTTCTGAGTAGTCTGATCTGCAAGGTCAAAGGTTTTATCAATGGTGTCTGGTGGGCTGTAGAAATTTGCTTTGGTCTGAGACGCTAGTGCTCTTGTGCAGTGTTTCTTAAATGGGGGCCACATTTTATATTCAATATTCCTATTTTCTTTTTTTTTCTCTAATATTTTTCAGGCCTTTTTCCAGTAGAAGATTGACATGATGGGGGGGAGAGAGGGGATGGCACACAGCGAAGGGGCACAGGCTAGACTCGAAGCCTTGGCTGCCGCAGCAAGGCCTCAGCTGCTCACGGGGGGGGGGGCAGCTTCACCAGGTGAGCCACGAGGGTGCCCCCCGAATATTCCTATTTTCAATACAACTGTTACCTGTGTTAACTGTCCACTGCAGTTGCCTCTCTGCCACTAAGAATGACAAAGATCTTCAGTGAAGCACAAGCACATGTTTCTCCCTTAACTGTAACTAAAACCTATCAAAAAGACGTACGTAATGCACATTTTTACACATATATTTTTTTATAGGCATATTTTTACAACCAAAAATCTTTTGCTCTGGTCAGGGGGTAGTCTGGGGCTACAATAGTGAATCCGCAATGCGCTTCAAGCATAAAAGTGCTTACTTGAATGAAACTTATACTATATACTATATAGTATATATATATACACAATATAGAAGACAGGCAGCATTACCAAGTCTTGTGTCTTAAGTAAGATTTCCCAGATTCATCTTGAATCGTCTTTATAATGTTTATTTTATGAATATTCTTCTTCTGCCTTATCTCACTGTTTCAGCACATTTTGCATTTTCTGTTTTGCTTTGTTGATTTTGTAACTTTGTGTAAAAAAGTGCTATATAATAATTAAATTTATTATTCTAATGATTATCCTGATAACACTATCTCCATTGGGATAATGCACTAAGCAGTTGTCGGCACCATCATAAAAGTCTCTACAATTTTCAATCCAATCCAATAAAAACAAATAAATAAATAATGAATATAAAAAAAGGGCTTCCTTAAGTGAAGCAGAATCTGATTATCTACACAGTAAGCACCGTGGCTCTCTGCCCAACAAATCCCTTTAGGTGCTATTGATTAGTAAATGGTCTCAATTACCACTCATAAACACGCTCACCTGGCACACAGCCCCTCATATCAGGCCCCAGGTCCTGTCCGTCAGGGCAGGCGCAGGTGTATTTGGGCGAGTGTTCGGTAATCTGTGGAGCCTTAAGACACAAGTACTCACAGCCTCCATTGGCCACACTGCCCAGATTACAGCTGTCTGGGCCTGGAGAGAGAAAGAGGGAGACATGGAGAATTACACAGTTTGGGTTATATAAATAAGATTATCACTTATTCAACATTGGGAGATAGCAGAGAGTCAGAGAGAAACTGGAGAAGTTTACTGTTCTCCACTGCGAACACTTCTGAATTCCCTTTCAACAAAGCCCATTACTTTGCATAAACAAAATCTGAAAGAATACAAAGAATCAAAACTGGCAACATACTTGTTGTAAATATTAAGCAGTTTCTGTGCTAACGTGCCAGGCACAACTCCACTGTGTTGTTTATTAAGTCTTGTTTAGATACAAACAAGACAGGGATGTATGAAGATCGAAGTGGAAAGACGGTGATGAAATACAGTGAAAGATTGAAATATAAATTGGCATGGAGTGGAAGGAAGAAATAAAAAGAGACAGACAGGCAGAGATAGATATGGAAACTGACACACAAGAAAGGAAATACATGGCTATCAAATTCATGATTAAGAGCTCTGTTGAGTTCAACTCAAATCTGGATTGTCCTGTTAGAGGAAATCCGGTTGGAGGCACGGTTTTGACAGATGTGTGAATGTACTGCTGCTCCCAATGCTTTGATCACTCCACCACAGTGACAAGCCTCCATATCAGTTATTCATTTGCCTGGGTCGACACGAACCCACAGAGGAAAAGTGGTCACAGAAATGCGGCTCAGCTCACACAATCACAATGAGGGGAGGAAAGTGAAGGAAACGAACAGACGTCTCCCTTACTCATAGTGTACACACACCTTGCGGCTGTAGGAGCTGGTGGAAGACCACAATGTCATGTGGGTCGTTGAGGTTTTCTGCCAGCGTGTGGATGTCCTGTCCGGTCAGCCTGTTGGCCATGAAGACCGCTGCCCTGTCTCTGTCTGTCCAGTAGATACGATCCTGAAACACAGGGAGAATCATTGTCTTAATATGGGTAACACACAGAACAAGTTAGTCAGGGGAGTGTTTTTGGTTTGAACCTGAGAGCAAGTATTGGCAAACAGCCAAAGTCTAACAGCTTGGGTGGTAACCTCTGAAAGCCAAACAACTAGCACTTATATCTAATCTCCACAATAAATAATTTAAGAAGATGGGTCACTTTATGGCTCTTGGGAAACTTGGAAGCGCAAGCTTGCGATCCTTGTTAAATTGTGCATTTCATTTTCTTATATTATTTATTTCACTTGACGTTTAACTTGAAGTGATTTTATTAATCTTTTTATTCTGTTGGTAGTGCACCTTCACCATTTTTAGACACTTCAATAGAATGGCTCAAGGGATGTCGGCCCAGCACTTTGGTCCATACTAATATATATTTAAATAATAGCTCAACCACTAATAGAGTTCATTCCCACTAAATTTGGTACAGACATTTTTAGTCCCCAGAAGATAAATCCTACGAAAATCCTACTTCTACATTTTTAAGTTATCCTGCTGGTCACAAGATGTCTCCTACTTCACTCTAAATTGTTGTGAATTGTATTCTCAGTGTATGTCCACTGGTGGCTTCAAGTTTCTACATGTTGCATGCTGGACCAGGACTAACTTTCAAACCCTTTGTCATAAATCATGCATGCAGGCTGCCCCTTAAAACCAGATTTTCAGTGGGCACAGAGAAACTTTCCACTTTCAGCAGATGAATGTGAACACAGCCTTCTAGTTTCAAACTCTGCACATACATCATTCTGCACAGTGAAGATCAAACATCAAACTGTAGGAACAAGGAGGGACTTTTTAATTGAGCACCATAATCTGGTCAAAATGTCAACCTGTCCAATACTTTGGTTTATTATCAAATGCATGGAAAACAAATTATATCAGCCTCTGTTGTACTTTGTGTTTAGTGTTAATGGCAGCATGTTGACATGCTAATACATACACTATACCTACTTTGCAGCAGCATGTTATCATTGTCACTGTAAGCATGTTAGAATGCTGATGTTAGCATTTAGCTCTAACCAAGAGACTGCACTAAAAATGTGTTCATGTTCAGGTGACAGAAAGTGTATGAATAAAACAGAGGAACAATAGAATATAACATACCGTACAGATGACTAAAAACAAACAAGGGGACAAAATAACCTAAACAGAGAGCCCTAAGAAGCATGCTGCGGGAGGATACACAGGGCTAACAGCTGTAAATTATTTGCTCAGACAACTCACAAGTCTAATTTATCTGAGACAAAACAACAGAAAGAACATTAGTGCGAGTGATATAATATGCACTGATAAATATTTGTTCCCACACATAGTCTGATTCATTATCTCTTGCAGAAGAGAGAGAGAGAATGTTAATTTGGTGCAAATAATATGAATCAAGAAAATGCATATGCAGAGGTTTAATGGTAACTCAAACATTCGTTTTAATTCAAATGGAACAACAACTACAAAGCAAAACAAAATTTAACAGCAGGCATGTAATAAATGGGATTGACAACTTGTTATCGAAGATTAAATCCATTGGTTTTCTTTTTATAGCTTTAAGTGTCTGCATATCTTTTGTGGTTCCTTACAGCATTTGGTCTTAAAACACATCCTATTTAGATCCAAATATAGTAGCTCAAAGGCACATTGTAACCATGCATATTGTTTAGAAATTGATTTGTTTGCTTTGTTTCCTTATTTCACTCCCCCAACAGTTTAAGAAGACAATTTTGGACAGGAGCTGACTTTTGTGGTTGCCTTAGAAACTACAGGCTAATCTCCAGTGAGCAGCGAGACAATAGGCCTCGCCACATGAGTGTGTATGTGCATGTTGAGTCAGTTATTGAGTCAGAAAGAGATGATAATGTGATGTACACTACAACAAGCTCCACTCAATAAGACGGGGGTTGTGTATGTACATCCTGAACAAGAAGGTCACCTTGTAGTCACAACAGGGCAGAGAGCAGAGAAGCCCCGGATCGATTATGTATTACACCAGAGGGAATTTATCATCATTTCTAAGATTTACACTACAGTTCTGGCTGCAGGACTAACAGCAGAGTTCAGTAAAAAAAAAGAAAAAAACTCAAGGTTATGCTTTTGACAGCTCTATATTCTATTGGTATTTTCATTTTTTAAAGGTTAAACCTGTAAGAACAACAAGGGAGGTTGATGTGTGAGCAATTTATATTTCAGCAGGAGTGGAATGTTACTATAATGCATTTTACTCAAGTACTATACTGAATTAGAACCTTTTAGGTACTTGCTTATTGAATTTATTCAATATTTAATTTACTTTAGTTGAGTCGTTCCATTTTATGCTACCTTACCCTTTACCCTATTAAAGGAGATGCATTTTTATAGAATAAACAGTAGTTTGCAGTTTATATCCACCTCAAACTGCTACAACAGCAGTTTACACATTAATGAATCAATAATAATCCAGTATTATAATCCAGTATGACGACAAAACACTGAACAGGGTCATGATAATGTTGCTAATACCTCTGTACTGTTACTGTACTTTTACTTGGTGGTATTACTACTTTTACTTAAAGGACCAGTGTGTAGGATTTGGTGGCATCTAGCGGTGAAGTTGCAAATTGCAACCAACTAAAAAAACGCTTGCCTCCAAGTGTGTAGGAGAAACTACAAGGCCCTATCTAGAGCGAGTGTTTGAAGGTAATGGAAACAAGTGATTATACATAATGAAAACATACCTTTGATCATTATATCAATTTCTGCCAATAGATCCTCCTAAATGTTACACACTGAACCTTTAAATAAAGGACCTCAATACTCTGTCCACCTCTGTTCTTTATAGAGTTTCTTGGCAAAGGCTTCTTTACTCGTTTTACTATTAAAGGAGGGACATCGAGTGCGGTGACCCGATACAAGTTTTACGACCCCTCAGCTCACAGATGTAATTCAAACCCAAGTGGATATTTTCAAAAACCCATGCTTGTAAATCTGGTCTGCTGAATAAAATCTGTATCTATACTCCCACTGAGACCAGCTCCCCTTGAGAGGAGTCCCACTGGGGAAAAAGCCACCTGGGTGATGTCATTACCACATGTGAAACTGACTGGGACTTTGCTGCAGCAACAGACATGAGTTTGTAAGTAAAAGCATGCTTGCACACAAGCACAAACACACACACCACATAGAAACCACCAGCAGCACTGGCTTGGCACAAAACCAGATTTAGGTTTCTGTGATGGACATATCATACACACAGGAATGCTGGCTGATGACCAAAGCATGAGTGTGTGGGTTGCTTTAGGCTCCTCACTGTCTTCTGTTTAGTATGCTCTGCCAGGCAATTCCACAAGGGAATACACAAGGACACACACACACACACACAAACTGAGCATACAGTAAATTGAATTTAACAGTCATTACACTCAAACTGCCAGTCACACTGCAGGCCCCTGTGAGGCTGACGAGAGAGATGTAGATATGATGAGATGTGGGAGGCTGGATGATATCACAGACAACTGCCCAAAGTCCCCTATTGCACACAAACCTCAAAAACAGCCAGAGCGTAGGGGTGACCCAGTCTCTCTGCAGACGACATGTGCGTCCTTCTGTGCGCTCCGTTCAGGTCCACGCTGGCTATAAGGTGAAGCTTTGAATCCACCCAGTACAGACGCCTGTTGGCTACATCTGAGAAACAGAGACACACACGGATAAGATTTTCCTGAAGTGGAGTAAAAATTGATTGTCTCTAAGCACTCTGACCAACAAATCCCTTTAGGTGATATTGATTACGTTTTAAAATGTCAGATTCCCACGATTACACCGCTGCAAGTTTTACTGTGTCAATCTATAACTTCTTACACACTTCAAATATCACTCAAAATCAACTGTAATAACTTCATAAATCAATTTTTTGCCATCAACATTTAACATTTACCCTTACTATTTTAATTACTTTTGACCTTTACCTACAATGGGTTGATTAAGTGCATCAGGTCTTTTTCAGGACTGTGCTTCAAACACAACAACTGCCCAAAAAGTTAAATATAGCACTGTGTAATATATAATGTAAGCACAAGAGCTGAAAAACAGCGGTTCTCCTCTCACCTAGAGTGATGCCATTGGGCCATTCAATGTTATCAGCTACCAGCACCTGTCGGTCCACTCCATTCATCCCGGCCTTCTCTATCTTGGCTCGCGTGCCCCAGTCTGACCAGTACATAAAGCTGGATTGAACAAAGGAAAAATACTTATTGTGTTATTATGTTGTGTTCATGTAGTGCTAATCTTAGAATCATATAGAGAACTTTAAGACTGCAAAAAATAGGACAGGGGAAATGGGGGTAAATCAAAATAGCTTTGAAAACAGGCAGAACACTATAGCAGGGACAATACAGTCTATAGTTTGATGTCTGGGAATATCACCTGTAAGATTTGTGGAACTGTTGTTTTGAAGAAACAGAAAGGGATGAAATTTGTTACAAAACCACATTAGTGACAAAAGATAACTGCAGCACATTCAAAGATCTGTGTACGATGCACTTTATAGGAGCTGTCCATTCAGCACCACGAAATCACAACACAAGTCAAAAGACCAACAAAGCAGTACCCGTATTATCTTCACGCTAATGCTCTTAATACTTCACTGTTATCTCTCAGTTGTCTTCTGCTTGAATTTGTATTTTTCCGTCAGTGTCAGCTTCTGATATAATGGTTTACATAGTAACTACTTATTAGATCATATCACTTACAAAGAATATGGTTTTGTGTGTTAAGTAGGCACAAGTTATAAAGGCAACCAACACAATTCCCAGACAGATCTGTTATTTTTCCAGGAGGCTGACTGCATTGAACTATTTCTTCACATACAGATTTAGTCCTTGCACGAGGAGTATGTTATGTCGATTCCAAATATGTTTATTGGCAATTGTCAGTGTTTTGTCACCCCATATTTCAGGTTTGTTTACAGAAACTCTCTTTTGCTCTCCAAGAGCCCATTATGTCATAATTAGCTGTGCTTATTTACATCATCAGTGTGAGTAAATACTCTGCTAAATGGAAAACAAGCAAACTTTTGCAGCCATGGTGATTTGTGGTAGGCTTAAACCAAACCCCAAGTGTTTAAACAACCACATTTAAAAGCTGTTATTGTATGAGTTCTGTATAGTTGGAATGCTTGGAAAGCAATATTAGTCAGCATTCAAAGCAGAATACACAATGATTTACACCATCATTTCTATGCAAATGTTCATTATTATTACTCATTTGGTGTCACTGCAAGAAATCTGTGTGTGTTGGATTCCTGCTGGGCAGTTATGATTGGATCTATAACGTGTAGAATATCTCACTGTGTCTGCCTCAGTTTAGGCTATGCGCCTGATTATTTTAGTTTATTTTTGTGCCTATTTGTGCTCATCTGGGTTTGGATCAACAGAACAAAAAAAGCTGCAGAGGCACAGGCTGGCACAAATTCATAAAGCTTTCCAGATTAGGAGCGATCATCTAGGACAGAATTTCTAAAAAAACTATTGAGTCAGGATGCTAAATGGGTCACAGGCTTGTTACTCTGGGTTCCCACATACAGCAACAAGAGTTCTCTTGTGTTTATCATTAGACGTGGTTCTAGAAGAGGATTATGTTTATTCAATTCCTGGGAACCCTGGCTGAAATCACTTTACAAATCTCTATCTAGGGTCATCGACCATCATATTCAATATTATAGAACAGGAAAAAAGAGATCAGTGTAGTGTCTGCCAGCATGTTCAAAGAGATACAGAGGAAGGGTAACCTATATAAACTCAGTCTGACATTATTTTATGCTGACATACTGTAAATTGTTATGTAAATTCATTGCGTACAGTTTATTAATTAGCATACTTTTTGAAGTTCAAAATGAATTGTGCAGGTCAGTGGATGCTAGCATTGTAATGCCCAGTATAGATAATTGTTTAACAACCATAATTATTGATCCTGTCATTGTTTGTATCTTCAGTATTGGGTATTGCATAATGCGATCAATGCTTGATGTCAGAGCCTGGTTTCAATACATTTTGTATTGTGTTCATGAACAAAGAAACACACATACACAAGTACACACATCTCCTCCTCCTTACCCGTGGTGGGGATCCAGCGCTATGGCCCGGGGTTCACTCAGGTCGGTGTTGATGAGGACGCGTCTCTTGGTGGCGTCCACTGAGGCCACAGAGATGGACTTGTCTCCTGAGTCTGTCCAGTACAGGTTGTGTTGGAGCCAGTCCAGAGCCAGACCCACGGGGGCCTGCAACGAATCCACCAGTGGCACCTGCTGGGAGGGGTCACTGGCCTCATGGATGAAGGCACTGCAGGGGGAGGGCGATAAAGGGAGCGAGGGAGGAGTATTTTGAGGGGAGGAGAGTATGGAAGCCATGATCTACAGCAAGCCAGATGTTATTGCAAAATCGATGTGCAGTGAAGGGATGCTGACTGCCTGGTGGGGCCCTATTTTGTGATAATGAGCCTTTATACACTATTCTTATTATTATATGCCACCCTACTAAAAAGATTTAAGCTTTTAAAATATTGACTTTTAGTGATTTCATTATGATTTCATTACACTTTTTATAAACTTTTTCCAAAGAGTAGTTGGTTGATGTAACTATATAAAAACAACTGCAAACACAGCAGTGAATGCAAATCTAGCAAATCCATGACTGAAGGAATTAATTAATAGATGAATGAATAATAATGCAATTAATTTGCTTAATTATGTTTGTCTGAAGTAAGTGAAGTAAAAAAAAAAAAAAGGCTTTTTGGTACATTAATTTGATAAATTGGGAGTGGATATATAAGCACATACAGGACAGTGACAGGACAAGCAAATAGCCCAAAGATTGTGTATCATAATGACTGATGTGTATAATAATTCTCCACTGTGCTGTAAAGCGACTGCAGAATGGAGAATGGGTCTGTGTGTGAGCTGTAGCCTTGGGCCATGCGCTGAGCAGGTTCATCCGGGGGTTAGCGTCCTTCTTAGGTGGACCACTTATCAGAATAGACAAGGCCTAACTCAGGGGTTGCCCCTGCTCGCTAATGATTTGACCCCAGCAGAGGTGTGAAGTGAGGGCCAGGAAGCTGTGCTCCCGAACAGGAATTTCAGTTTTAGTTTCCCCAGAGAACTTCTCTCTTAACATCCATTTTATAAAGAGAACACAGTGCTCCAATTAGAAAAGACTCTGGGGAGAAAATGTAGTTGGGATAACAATAGGAAGGGTGGAATTAATCTAAAATGACAGAAGGCCTGAGCCATCAACTCAGCTGATAAAATATCAAAAACATCAAAAGACTTAACTAGTAGATGCTCAGTACATCAAGACCAGGAAAATCATGTTAGGGTGCAACAATGTAATATTAAGCATATCAAGTGTTTGTAATGTCACATTTTGATTGAATGTTCCAGTGGTTCATCTTTGAAAAAAAAGTAAGTTATCTACCTAGTTAGAATAAGAGGTAAGTATGGTTTAATATATTCAAATTTATATTGTTTACACCTGGTATTAACATGCATCTCGGATGATTGGATCACAAGTGGACAGCTCTGTGGAAACGACCACTAAGACAAATTGTGATTGGATCACCCAAGACGCATAAAGAAGGCATTACGAATTGTAGGATTTATGGTTCATGATGCAATGAACAACATCAGATATGACATGATACACTTGAAACCAATAACCAATAACCACATCGTTGTAGGTTTAAAATTTTTCCAGAAATTGGTTTTGCAAATGTTTTATGAAGAAGGAAATACATTCAACATATATATTAAAAAAGTAAATTGTACTGTTTCTGGTTAGTAATTGTGGCTTTCTGCTCTAAACTGAATTTTCTGTTCTTGGTTTACCTGTATATTTTCCGGTGAAAGCGGTCACACCAGAAGATACGGTTGTTGGCCACGTCCAGGTCCAGAGCTACAGCATTCTTCTGGGTGGACACCACTTGGTTGTAGTCCCTCTTCACCAGGTCGATGCGTCGGATCTCATGACGATTGGTAAACAGCAAGTAAGGACTCTTCCCTGCACACAAAGCGGAGAATATTTATTTGACGTACTGCTTTTGTGAAAATGGGCACAAAGGCCAGTATGAACACATTCTTCAAGTATGGGTGAGTTAAGCCGGCCAGAATTTACAATCCCAGTCACAGCTCAAAGCAATTTAGCAAAGGGTCTGAAGCTGGAAGATCAATACATTGTTAGTAAGGGGAATACATTATTGGGAGGTGGATTGGGAAGTGCTTCAATAGTGGCTCGTCAGATCAGCTTTGACAATTTGGAAAAGGGCCAGAAGAAGGGTCCAAGCCAGTATCTCATATTAGAAAACTGTTCCTATCCAGAAGCTGCACAGATCATCAAAAAGAGCATCAAAAATGTTTTGTGCTGCACTCAAGACCATGCTGTGTCAGGGAATGATGGAGCCATTCCTCTACAGTAATAACACTGAGGCTTCACCACAGTATCAAAAAGCATTGCAGCTTAATGTGCTGCTGCACATTTGTAGCGCTGAAGTCGATACTCCAAATGTCATCTTTTAGCACAGATAAATAACACAACAAAGCCTGTGTGATACAGCTCAATATTCTCCCCTAACAAGAGTGTGGGGACAATAATCCTTCATTAAAAACTGCTGAATAGTTTCTGTATTGATCAGTGTGTCTGCATGCATCATTAAGCTATTTGCTTCTTATTATCTTGTCCTTGCAAATATAGATCAGAAGTATCTTAGCTGCACCTCTTTAAACAGCAAGCTGTCAACTTTCACACAGGTGGTAAAAATAAATAGACATGAATAAATGCACACACACACGCACACACACACACACACACACACACACACACACACCAGTAATTTCCTCTGAGGGCTAATAAACAACCTTGAACAAAGTTAAATCTGACAGATTTCTTTACCCTTGTCTTAGCCTCCCAACATAAGATCCATAAAAAATAAGGATCAGTTAGCAATATTTCTTTCCCAGGATGACAAAGTCATGACCTGCCCTACTCTGCCTCTGATTGTCACCCTAACCTTAACCAGTCAGTTACCTAATGCACAACTGCAACAAGGTTTAACCCACAGACAGCAACAGAATCAAGTGTTAATATTGTATCTTTTCATGTTAATTACAGGGGCAGCTATGTTGCTTGGTGATGCTAGTTGCAGCTAGGCCAGATTAGTTACTCAAGTGTTTAGTCATTGACCAAATTTTGACCTCATGATGGTGCTAGATTAGAGGGGATTACTAGTGATTATAATTTATCCTGAGGTAGACATGAATGTGTTTGGTTTTCTTTATTTATTATTTTATAAATTTCATGGCAATCCATAAAATTTTATATAGTCTGGGCTAAATCGGCAAACGGACAGACCTACAGACCGACATTGCTATTCCTAGAGCTATGCCACTAGCATGGCTAAAAATATAAACCCGTATTTGCCTCCAGCCAGAGCAATAGAAGAGAACTGCAGTGGATATTTGCATACTGGATAAAAAAACTACACAAAAAACACCACATTGTCATAGAGATTGACATAAAACATTATTTTCAGGTACTGTACAGACATAGTTTTGTAACTTTGTCATGCTACAGTACTAGCAAAAATAGCTATTATTTGTCCTTGTTTCATTTTGGGTGCATTCACACCTATTTTTAGAGCTGTCCGCTAGTGATAAGGTCACCCAGGATGCATTTTAATTAGACCCAAACCTGAACAGGGGGCTTTTATATTAGCATGTCTTTATGTTTAGTTCCCTCTAATTGTGGCAGGAAAAAGAAGTGGGTGACAGATACACTAACAGTGAATGCCTGCAGGGAAGGTTTTATCACTCTGGCTAGCAACTACAGCCCACCTTTGTCTTGTAACATCTATATTGAGCCTATCTTCTTTCTGACATGGTAATAGGATGGCAGCTGCAGCCAGTTATCTCTGGAGGCAGATATGATATTCTCTCATTAATGGCTCGCTTGCTTCGCCTTCCCTTTTGACAGTGTGTGCCGCAGCCTCATTGTATTATCGTACTCCTGCATGTTCCTTCTTTCTTCCCTTTCCTTCCTCTCCCAGTCCAAACTCTGAATGATGACAGTGCTGCTCAGGACTAAGTGTTCTCAAAAACTGGCCATTACAATGACAGCATTTCCAACCCCTCTAAGAGGAAAATGGTCCCCTGCTGGTGTTATGGGCTGCCACAGCAGTGTTCGTTTTCATTGCATCAAAACCAAGCGGTGGAACTGCTGCATTCACTGGGATTCTGCTTTCGTGGCTTTTGACACAAAGCCAGACACAGAGTTCTCTCCTGGCCATGATAAACTGATAGCAAACACACTGGGCAGTCATGCACTGAGAAATACACAAGTGTAGACAGAGGCAGGGGGCAGATACAATCCAAACACATATACAGTGTGTACAAATGCAAACACACACACATGCAAGTGCTGAGTTTTGATTTCAGTTCAGTTTAATTGAGGGAAATAAAATCAAAATCACCGCATTTGACAGCCACAGGGACCAAATCACCACATTTAATTTGACTCAGTTTTTCCTGCCACTTAAATAATGAACATTTTGGGGGGAAATGAAGTGTAAACATATAAACAGGCCTCTTTCTATAATGCTCTCCTAATAGCTTTTGGCCATAGTTGGAGGTCAAAGAAAAGGAATTGGCCTCTTAGCAGTTCACTTTGTTCTCCACTAGTCTAACAACTATTGTCAACAAGCCTAACGGGAGACCAGATTCAATTTGTTGTAATTATCCTCCACCGTGACTCAACAAGGTACCCCTGAAGAGCTGCTATACCTAATTATAAGTGTTCAGCATGGTTTAACACATCAGTCTGTCACTCTTGAAGCTGTCTAATAGGATGGGACAGTCAAGGATGTATTTGGCCTGGGAGAAACCAAGTGTGGTTGCCTTGGTGATGCTTGTGAATCTCGCCTTTTTTTTTTGTGATTTAGCAATTATGTCAAGTACCCAAGCAAGTGCAGAGCAATGATAAGAACCTAACAGCAGAAAGATGTTAGTGATTATGGGATGAGGAGCGTTTGACACAGTGGCACAAAAGCTGAGAGTGAAGTGTTGCATTAATGAGGCAACGCAATATCTGAGAGAATGTTATTAACAGCACAACACAGCTTTTAAAACTTTCAGCAGGGGAAATTTCATCTTTACCACACAAAACTGGTTTTAACAGCAACTATGTAGGTTATAAACTGCATAAATATAAAACGAAGAAGCATAATCACAGTTTTGACTAATAAGTCCCAAAATAGGAAACTTTGAGCAACTCACCTTCTGCCTTGCAGGTCTTAGTAACAGGGTCCATCTCATAACCTTCATAGCATTCACATTTAAAATCCCCCTTGTAGTTGATGCAGATCTGGCTACAAGCGTCAGGGTTCTCACACTCATCAATGTCTGCAGGAAGGAGAGGGAAGAGAGGTTATCAATCAACTGAGAGATAGAGAGAGACAGACACAGACAGAGCGAGACAGACACAGACAGGGAGAGACAGATAGTGAGTAATTCACCCTCATAAGTGGCACTAGGTAACTAAATTCCTAAAATGTAAATATGGCAATGATTTTCTGAGAATAACAGCTGTAATGGATGAGTAAATGTGCACGTTTATAACTGCAAGTGCTGGAGAAACACACAGACGTGTCGTCATTGGCAGTTAATGGGAAGAAAGATGTCGACAGGGAGACAGGGCGTATCCCTGTCGACTTCTTCCTTCCTTCCAGCAGATCTCAGGCTTTTTCCTTGGGTGTGATGGGGAAACGGTAGTGTTAAAAGGATGAGGAAGGCTGTGAAGGACATAGTGTGTGTGTGTGTGTG